GGGTAAGAGAACCCAATTCAGCGTTAAGAAATATAACTAAAAACGAAATTAATAACAATAATTTTTACCGGTGATTAAAATGTTCTTGTAACGCCGCCCCATTATAGTGCGTTAATGGAAATGAGAAGAAAGGGCTTGTTTTATTATCGTTTTTTACTTCCGGTTCCTGTTCAAACTTCTTTGTTTACTTCTAGCAATATGATGTCAGCCCAGCATTCAAGCCTTGATAATGCCAAGACATGAAATGAGAGTTGTGTTTTGCATGCATGGCGTAAGAAGGTATTATTCTTCTTCCGTGAAAAGATAATTGAGGTGGACTAGAAGCCTGTTGATAGAAGCCATGTATTTGGGAGTGTAGCTTCTTTACAAGCTCCTCATTATTGTTGAGAGATGGAGGAGGTATTCATGCACGATCTTGTATGTATGCTCTGCAACAGCTCGCCCAAGCTTTCCAGGGAATGACTCTCTATCAGTGAACCACAGATGGTTTGGACATTTGAGTGGGTGGTTGGCAGATATTCTGGTGTGCTTTGCTCGCCTCTTTCTGTCCTATCAAACATATTATGCCGTCCATTTCCTTTCTCTTTAGTTCTCTTTATTTTGAAAGTTTCAGTTCATTCTTCGGTATTTATTAATATGATCTATTTGTGTTGCATGTACCGTAAAATTCTCACTAAAAACTAAAGTAAAGGGCATTTAATGTCGAGGCGCCCCAAGAAAACGAATGGGATAAAAATGACTTTTATTAAAATCTTGATATTGGTTGCATTTCATGAGAGCTCATTAAAAAGAAAGAAAATGAGTGGAACCCCACCACTGTCTGAATATTATGAATGAAGATAATTGTAAATATTTTACGCCCATATCGAAACAATTTGGATCATCTAGAGGCGGGTTGTTTCGACTCTGGGCATTGTCGAAATAATACTTGTGTCGTTTGAGAAGAAATGAGGATGATGATGACCATCATCCATCGTCATCACCATCATCATCGTCGTCATCATCATCATCATCATCATCATCATCATCATCATCATCATCATCATTATCATCATCATCATCATCATCATTTGCAGCAACGACAGCAATATCGATAGCTGCAACGGGAGTAGTCTCAGCGTCAGCGTGCCTTCACATCCAGTACTCCCTAATAGCGCCAGTGACCTGAACTCCCTCTGCATTGATGGGATACTAAGATCGTGATATCAGCAGACAGCTTGCCGACACCCCCTCCCCCCCCTCCAAAGACTTTCCAGAGCTTTATCTGCAAACCGAACCTGGAAATCCAATGATCCAGCACTGATCAGGGCTCTGTCGGCTGGCTGGGTATAAATTTTCCTAACATAGGAGGTCGCTTTCATTCCAGCGCGCAAAAGCCACAGGGGAAGCATAGTCGTCTGCTAATTGTCACCATAAAGCTGTCTACAGAGTTCCTGCCCCTGTTTACTGCTGTAGTGTGTGCCCTCGCTCTTGACATGGCGGCTATGAAAGGGGGCGAGATAGAAAAAAACAAAAAAAGGGTGGGGAAAAAAGGGGGGTGGGGAGGGGGGTAAAAGGAGATTACAAAAATGTCGATGTCCCCTTACTTCCTCCTTTTTCTTGTCCTCTAGTGTTTCTTTACCGATGGAGTGCTTTGTCGATCAAACAAGGAAATAGCCTTCCAATGTCAGTTTACTTTTTAGATTTCTAGCCTGGCTCTGATAGACCGTTTTGTTTCGTTTCTCAAATAGAAGCTCTTGTAGGATAGTCTTTGCTCTTACATCTGTATGCACGATGCGTTACTCTCTATACAGAGAGCTGGAATATAAAGGTCGCCACAGATATTTTATGGGCGCTTTATGAGAATCTCAAAAAGAAGAGTGAACTTTTGTTCAAGATTCGATCTTTGTTTTGAAAGAAAAAGAATTTCTACTTTTTACAGGTCAACATTTAATTTCCGAGACACGTTAATTATTCATGATATGAGAAATTGAACGATGCCTTTGTATCAAATGTTTGGGATATAGGCTATATAGAAATAGAAAAGGAAAACAATAATATCTTGAATTTTTCCAGTTTCTAATTTCCGCTACTATAAATCCGCAGCAACGAGTTCCTGCAGCGTTCAGTTCACATCGGGAGCTGGGGGCCTCCTGTGTGGTACCTAGTCCTTGCTGTGCTCACCGTGTGGATCCTGGTGTATCTCAGCATTGTACGAGGCGCCGCCGGATTTGTCAAGGTAAGATGAGAAGAGACCAAACTAATATCGTATTTGATGTAAATGATTTATTCATCCTCTGCACTACATCACTACCCACCCAATACCCCCCCCCCTCCAATCTCTCCCAACATTTTATTGTCTTCGTCACTATGCAAGCCCTGCGATTCTCTTTGCCACAGCAAGAGCCAATAAGCTAAAAATAAAGAAAGAAATAACCTTCTCCACGTGATTTCACCGTGTAACGTTTATATAAAGTAATTGAGTTACAACCTATGTTGAGCCATCACTGAAATGTCCGTATGCAGAGATTGTGCCTAGAAAAGATGGCGAGGAAAAAAGAACAAGGCGTAAAAACACAACTTTGAGCACCCACATTAAAATAAAAAGTTTTCTTTTTAAAACATCCTTGCGTGTTACCGCTAACAAATCTATCCTTTGCTAATAGATGTCCTGTCTTGAGCTCTTGTGTCTCTTCCATCTACGGGATTCATGTTCAACTTAGCTGTTCCAGGCTTCATGCCCACGCCCTCTGCATAACCATCCCACTGCGTGAAAACAAATGTTTGCTTAGCAAGACATCAATCTTACACCGTGGAAGGTCTGATTTCATCCGCCTATTCACATTTCTTTTTTTTTCAAGGAATTCGCTGTCATTCTTTTTCCCCATTTTTTCCAACAAATCATATACTGTTCCAAAAAAAAGAGGCAAATTATGATTGGATAGCGTGCTGATAAATAATAATATGGTGACATTCTGTACAGCGAGGGAAAAAAAGCTGTTTGAGTGTGTGTCAATTGCAAGGGGAAATAAAAAAACAGAAGGTTCTTTAAAAGTTCTGCGAGACGGCCAGAGACATCAGGATTTGTATTACTCACATGAAAGAGGTGTCATCGTCCAAAGTAAACAAAGAGTCAGTGTGTTGTGCCATCTCAAGGAAATCCAAGTTTACCTATTCATTTGGTTCTCTCATCTATTCTGAAGGATGACATTGTTGTTGTTGTTGTTGTTGTTGTTGTTGTTGTTATTGTTGTTGTTGTTGAGTGTTGTTGTTGGTGAGTGTCGCTGCTGCTTCACACTCTTACTTCTGCGTTTGCTACTGTTGTTGCTTCTTCTATTACTATTGTTGTCGTTATACTTGTTGTTTTAGCCGCTCATGTTTTCTTAACACTAAATAATTTCAAGTGATACCTTGTCGTCATTAATGCTAATGGCTGAGCTGCTCCAAGATTTTCTGGGGAAAATGTAGGTTTGTTTGAGAAGCGAACGCGAGACTTAATTTAAGACAACCAACTATATTTCTTTTGAGAAAGAAAGGAAATCTGATACAAAAGGCTGTTTTTATCCAGCAAAGTACGAATATAACTTCATTCGTGCACTTCAAGCTTCTTCTAAATCGGACACACCCTTTTTGCTTCCTGTTGTACAACAACACTGAGCACCCCCATGGTAGTCCATCTCATGGTTTACTCTTTCAACGCTGTTCGGCAAATTGTGAATAATGATAAATAAAAACCCGCAGCAATACAGAATCTTTTGATACCTCAAGATGCTTTGGACACGACTTAAGGGTATCCTCAATTCTTTGATTTTTCACAGAACTGCTTGTCTTGTACCGTTCTGAAAGGTTTGATCCACATAACATCAACAAAATGAAATATTCGTCCTCATGAGGTAATATTGTAGTACTCTGAAGGATTGATGTCACACACGGAACTGGTCTCTAATAGTAAAAAGTTTCTTTACAGCACACTACAATTGAAGCTGGACTATTTTCACTCTGTGTCCGCAAATGTGTAAACGAGGTTCTGTTCAGTAACTCTATACATCTCTTGCCGCCATGTTTGATCACTCTCCTCGCCAAAAAAGGGTTTGAAAAAGACCCGAGCGCCGATGTGGTGGTCGGAAGTGTTGGGGTTAGCGAACGTGATTTCAGCAGAGAAACCCAAAGACCAGAAGTTTGCTCAGCTATTGAACATGCCTGCGGCTATCAGAACATCCCGTGGACTCACTCTGTGTGGCATGAGATCATCACACCCAGAGCCTTGAATATTAATTACAAGGAAAGAGCCAGAGAAAAATCGGCACGGTGTACGTGCTTCAGAACGCACAGGCCAGAAGCTCGTGTGCCAGTCTCATACATCTAGATTGCTTCGACGGTTTGTTTGCTTAGACAGGTGGGTCATTTGAAGCTGTCCTTGAACTGAATCTGGTAATGAAGGGCAAATTGTACCACTTGCTTGATTCAGCCGTCCATTGTTTACAGTAAGGATGACACACCACTTCAGTGGCGTTATACTTCAGAAACTGCATCAGATTTGATTAATTTGTTCTGAACTCACCCTTACGAAAATGAAGTTAGTTTGGTGCTCGGGCGTAGGGGTAATTTTATAACATCTAGAACATCTTTAGAAAGTCAGACGATAATAGGGTGAAATTTAAATCAAATTATGACATTTATAGTAATAGGGATTATATGTCTTACCCAAGGACATGTATTTTGGTATAACTTCTCTAGCATGGGGACCTGAAAGAGATAAGAAAAAAAACTTGGAAACAAAGACTTAATTGATAAAGCAACAGCAACAACATTTTCCAAAAAAAAGTAACACAAAATTGGCAAGAACATTAAAAACAAAAATACAAAGAAAAAGAAAGCTGACCTGGTCAATATTGATGGGTTTCGTGTAAAGGCAAAGCTATAGAGCGAGAAAGAAAAGAAGTACAGCTGAAATGCCATATCTAAAACCATGGTTTTCAATAATTCATAGCTGCGGCTTCAGTTTGTTTTTCCCATGCATAATTTTCGGGTCAGAGATATGAAACATTCACATTGTTTGCATTGTGTTATGCGTCTTGTCATGATTGTTTCCGAGACGGGACTTAAAGAGAGTACTCTATCTTGAGGACGGAAATGGACGATAAAAAGGAGGCAGAAACGAGAGTGATGTATAATTAAACAGAATGAAAAAAAAACAGAGAGCTTAATTAGCACAGTATTTTTTTTTTTTTATTTTTTTGCCTTACTCCATTGTTTTTTGGCACAAGTACTACTTATGACTAATACATCTCTCCGCAACTCTTAAACATACTGTTGTGGTCTGCCTTTTCCGTTTTGATACTTTTCAGTTTTAATTTTGTTTTTGCCTTGAATTCTCCAGAACAGATAATGTAACCCAAAACCAGTTAGTATCCTTGCTACGAAGATAAATGAAGAAGTGATTTTTTATTATTTTTAAAAATAACACTACATGTTATCAGCAAATCGCTCTTGAAGTGAATAAAACTTTTACTCTCTTGTAAAGAGTAGGGAGGGGGTTGGGGTCATCAATTCGTCGTTTTATTTATCACTTAAGTATTGTGTAGGTATAACATCCGTTTTTAATGTGAGTAACATGCATAATATAGGCAAATCACTGGGATGCGGAAATCTTTTTTTATATAATATACAGATCTCGCAATGTTTTAAATACAAAAAAATATTCGAGATAATAATCGGACCCTGAGAAATGTGTTCGCAATGTGCGTGTTTTGCTGTGTGCGTGCTTGCTAAGTGCGTACACGACTGAAAGAGAAACAAATGTTGGACTGAAGAAGTTCGTCTTCCGACACGATCACTATAATCAACTCCCTGCTTGTCCTACAACCATTTACGCGTCGACAAGAGGATACTACATCGTTACGCTGGAGAATATCTACTTATTTTGAGTCTCAGTTGGAATATGTACAGTTAAAGGGTGCCTCTATCCGAGCTTAAAGAGTTTGTTGACTGGGATTTAAACGAAAGACTAGTGTCTTTCCTCTTTAAAATATCTGAATGCAATAAAGTTAAGACTAATTTTGGAGAACAAGTCTAAGACGGCCGGCCAGCTTGCCCAGGGCAATGTTTGGTATGTGCCTGTCCTCCTGATTTATCACGCGGGTAAAAAAATGACTCTCCTTTTCAGATTGCAATAATTATCATCTTACCTTTAAATCGACAAATTAAATTCAATCAGGAAGCGAGCTGTTCAACCCTACTTGTCAAGGTCAGCAGAGGCTGTGTGGGGAACTGCACCCTAGAAGCGCCAGAAAAGTAGCGACACTCCACAAAATATCCTTACGCGTTATATTTGCGTGCAAGGAGACAACGGCATTGTGCCTATAAGTGACGGAATCAATATCATGATAATATCATCGACACAGCAAGATGTCAGAGCCCATGGATCAGGCGGGGGAGGCTCGAAATGTCCCTGTGAATTTCTTATTCCAGTATTTATTATAAACATCATGTCCCCAGAAAACGAAAATAACAATATTGGCATACGGAACAGATTCTTAAGAAAATTATGAAATTCCAATATTTATATCCTACTACATCTCTGTCTATGAAAAGAATATTTGTACCCTGAAGCTCAAACTGATGTTCTAAAAAGTCTGTGGACTGAATGTTGGCTATGCTCTGTGTGTCCATTTCTTGCGTTCTGTTGGCGAACGCTAAAGCTACTCTCGTTCGGGTGAGGTCAAGCTAGACTATCCACAGTGGCGGTAGAAGACAGAGAATGAATTAGAGTAAACTATTTTGCTCTATAAAACCAGTTTTGAGCGCCTTTCTCCAGGGCCTGTCGCTACCATGACAGGCTTGATTATTCCTTTGTGAGGAGTGATTTACTGCGCTCTACTTCTCCGCCCGTCGGGGTTCATTCCCTTGCGTAAATCAGCATGGCTGCGAAGCAGGAATCACTGCGCCTGTCAGAAAACGTTAAGACGGAGCCCATCATACTAGAAATTATCAACCCCAAAGTATTGGCAGCTAACGGTCCCTCTTCTAGGGGTTCGACTTATACCATAAATAATCAAAAAGAACTCATTTGCCTTCGTTTAACGATATCACTGAATATCCAGAATGGTTCATTACATGAATGTAATCAGCATTCAGTTGCTTGCCACAAGAAACATGACTTTTTCACTTGTTCTTCTTCTATTATGAGTACGGCAATGTTTCTTAAACCATACCAAGATATCTCTGCCAAAAGGTCTT